GTATTGTCTTTCAATTCCATTTTTCCATGAACTATTTTAAGTGCTCTTGTACCTCTATTTGTCCCCCTGAAACTACTGTCTGTCTTATATGAGTATTTACTAGTTGGGTGGACAGCTGTCATGTGAGAGAACCACAGACTGTGGTTGTTTCAACCCTTCATCGCAAGTCCAGCTGCTGGTAGGTAGTCCAGTTAGTTAGCCTCTCGGTTGTCCCAGGCACAGGTCTCAAGGCTACTACGGAGGGTTGCCTCTGAGATCCCTCAGTGAAGACAGCAGAATGTGGCACCTGGTGGAGCAGGTTGCCCATGCCCTGCTTACTGACGGGAACCCCGGCCAAGGCAGTAGGAGACCTCCCTCCTTTTTCTCATTTGCAAAGGTTGGGCTCTTCTTCCAAACTTTTTAACCCTCTGATTTTCACCCCCCAGAAGAAACCTGACATAGAAGCCCAACATACAGAATAGACAAAAGCTGAGCTACTCTGGATGAAACCAAGGGGGGAAAGAGGGGCTGGCATCTGCCTGCTCACCTGCCTCCACTTCCCCCGCTTCCCCAGGTAGCACCAAGCACCTTCAAGGAACCCAGGGTTCTAGGAGATGCAACTAGCCCCTTGAATCACACAGCTGGTGTAAAGCTACACGACTATGCCAGTTGTTGGGTTGAGGCAATAGCTACGCTAATTGTGTGGCTAGGCATTTCATAACTAAAGCCAAAACATTTAATTATTTTAGTTATACTAAGTTTCCATTTGTATTGTCAGGGCTAGGGCTCCGACCCTTCAAACCCACTGTACAGGCTGGGTCACCAGACCCCTCACACACAGGTCCACGCTAGGTAATTGGGAAAGATCCTGGCAGCTGTTGGCAGATGACACAAGCTCAGTTCTCAGCAGCAGTAGCTGCCTCCCCGTGCCCCCCCACCCCCCAGGGGTGGGGAGCGCCATGGATCAGAGCCACTTATCCTTTATGCTTAAGTTATATCCTAGGACACCTAGGTGCACATGCGCAATTACACTAGACGATAACCGAGGAACACCTGGGTGCATGTGCCTATTTACATCAAATGCTCGGCAAGATTCTGAACATCTGAGGGGCCCTGGCCATTTTCCTTCACTTTCCTTACAGCTGCAAACTCAGCCTCGTCTCTCTGAATCCAAAATGTACTTGCAGTGCTTTTCTGCTTGGGGGTCACGCGCTCTGCCTCGTCTCTGGGTTTCGTTCTCAGCATCTAATGAAGGGGCCCAAGAATCCCATTGAACTGCTGCTCCCTGAGGACAGGAGGAGTTGCAACATTCTTGCATAGCTTGGTTGTAGGTCTGCAGCTTTGCCCTATTTCTAGGATCCTTCAGGCAGGTAGTATGCCAAAAAGTATTTGCAGCTTTCCTAGACTCTGAGGGTGTCTTGCTTTTAATTCTCAGGGGTTTATAAGTAACAGCATTTCTTTCCTTTGCTCTCTAAGGAGGTGATTGTTCTGTTTGTTTTTCCCTAATAAAATTACATTTTCCTCTTAGCATCTAGTGGAGATTATATATTGAGAACCAAAACAAACTAAAGAAACAAAACTACCCCCCCCTCCAAAAAAAAGCCAAAAAAACAAGCCCTGGTAAATATGCCCTTTAGGAACCAATGAGCTAGCTAATGACTGCTGTTCACAGCTGTTCAGTTGCTCGTTGGGGCCCGTGGGATCCTAGGGAGAGCAGGATTGCTCTGGGAGCCGTGGATGGAATTGTGCTCAGGGTGGCAGAGGTACTGCCAGGAAGATAGCACCTCGCACGACACTTAGCCTACCTGATGAAGCCTGGCCCAGAGCCTAGCTCAGTGTGCTGGTCCTCCCTGAAAAGTGGAGCACAGAGCCATGTAGATCCCAAGCACGACTCATAAGAGTGGTGCGTTTCCTACTCCTTGCAGGAAACACCTTGGATTCAGGCACACCGCCCAGGCAACAACAGTCAGTCACCCAGTGCTTGTGCCGCGTTTGTGGTTTCTCTGGTGGATGCTGAGCTTACACCTTAAATTCGTGGTGTGTTATACCAGTCTGCTCCGTCCGTATTTTTTTTTTTTTACCAGAATAGTTATATTTAAGATTTCATCAAAAAAGGATCATGCATGAGGAGCCATGAACCTTTTCTCGGGCCTTCTGAGAGCCAGCTTAGTTTTGTGGAAAGATCAGCTTTGGGATTGAGCAGGTTTCAATTCCAGCCCTGACTGTGCCATTGACTGGCTGGGTGACCCTGAGCAGGTTTCGTAATTCTTTGTAAGGCAGCTGTTCCTTTATCTGTAAAATGAGGTGGTGACATTTGACCTCATAGCCTTGTTGGAGTCAATAACAACAGATGTGAAGTTCCCAGGACAGAGCCTTGTATGGAGTGAATGTGTGGGGCCAGAGCATCGGCAGTACTGTTAACAGCAAGGGGGGCCCACGTGGGACTCCCACCACAGTGCGTAGTAGTAGATGCACAGAAGTGGCCGGTGACTTTCCCTCCAGCTGGAAGAAGCTCCACATGTCACTGGAGCTTCCTGGTGCCATGGAGCCACCCAGCAATGCCAGGGCAGGCCTGAATGGGAGCTAAAAGTATTTGATTTGCCCAACTGAAAGGACCTCCTTTTGGCTGTCAAAATGTGACATCACAGCTACATTCTGGAATATTAACTAATTTCTATTTGTGAGCTCTAAAGTCATAAATCAGAATTGCCGTTTGTGAGTTCCCTGGTTATATATTCATGGAAGTTCCTAATGGGTTAGGTAGGGCTTAGGAGTAGTTTATGATTGTTAAGTAAATTAGTAATAATGCCACTTTACAACCTGTTATCATTTTTTTTTCTTTTTTAGCTCTAAAACAAATCCTGAAGTCCATAATTACCAGGTAAGGTATTGCTTTTAAAGGTTTTCTTAAATTTTCCACATTAAGCAGTCATAATGCTTATAATCAGATTTTAAAGA